TTTTCACAATTTTAGTAGTAGGTGGGTTATATGATTTTAATAGTAGGTGACTAATAATTTTAATAGTTGGAGGGTTCAAATTTTATTAGTATTCGTGATTTCAATGGTGGATACGTTAAAGAATTCAACAGTGGGTGAATTCATTCGTACGATAATTTTAATAGTAAGTTGCCAATGATTTGAGTAATAGATGGGTCAATTATTTCAATAGTTGGTAGGTTCATGATTTAGCAGTGTGGGTTCATAATTTTAGAATTTCAGTAGTGTAGATTCGTAACTTCAACGGTGAGTGAGTTCGTTATTTCGGCTAGTTCAGTAGTTTGTGATTTTAACAATTGTAGATTCCAAACAGTAAATGAATTGGTACATAATTTTTAGTAGTGGGTAAGTAGTGATTTCAATTGTGAATGAATGGGCTTATGATTTTAACAGTGAGTGGGTTTGTGTTCTTAATAATGGGTAAGTTCACAATTTTAATAAGTTCACAATTTAATAGTAGAAATTTTCAATACATGAATTCATTATTTAGCAGTGAGTGAATGGGTTCACGGTTTTAATAGTAAATAGATCCAAATTTCAACTGAATAGGGTAGATACGTAATTTCAATGCTAGATGAGTTCATGCTTTTAACAATGGATGTGGTCGACATTTAACAATAGATGTCTTTGCAACTTACGTACAAATGTGGCTAAATAATTAAAAAGCAGATGTTAGCTTGGCAAAGTCATATCGACTCATGTGAGCTGTACTAATTGTCTAAAGTTCAAGTCACATATAAGATTATGAATATTCAAGAACCTTATTGGTACTGTACGTACATATTTAATAACATAATTCATGTTTTTAGAAAAACAAACATTAAATAAGTAGTAACTTAGCAGGTATATGTCTGCAGTTATATGGCATAAATATTTATACACTCATGCATAAGTTAAAATCATAGTGCTTACAAGATAAACTTGATTTAAATGTAACATACATCAAAAGATGTAACTTTGAAAGGAGCCTGGCACGCGATGTTATTTCAATAAATAGTATAAGATTCTTGGTTGCTTAATCCATGTGAATTTTCCCTAGTCACGTAATCGCGACAATTGGCACGTATACGCACTGCATTCTTTTCTATAATAAATGCTTAATAACTATAAAATACGAGTTCCCTTGTTTTCACCAAGTTCTTGCATCATCTCTTACGCCGACCATCGGGGTTAAACTCGGCATGATTGATGGAAGCTCAACCATACGATGGTTATACTATTGATCTATCGTCTAAGTTATAATATGACAAGAGTAAAATAAATTGAATAAAAGACCTTTTACTTTGGGCTCTTTTTTTATTCTTGGTTTCTTGAATTTCTTCGGCATTTTTCTCACTAGTAACATCCTTTACTCTAAATCTCTTTCTTAACTCCAGTAGCATTCTATATCTTGTTGGCATCGTCTTACCTCCAATAGCGTTCTTAAATCTCTTTGGTATTTTACCACCAACAGTAGCATTCTTTTACATTAATTTTCTTCAGCACCTCATTTCATTCTTTGCCTGAATTTTCACGGAGTATTCTGTTTCCAATTAATACGTGCTTTTTTTTTCTCTATACATATAGTTTTTATTTTTTTTTGGCTAAATTTTCGCGACATATTCTTCCTGTCTAAGCCTTTTTAGCACGTTCAATCTTCAATAATACATATTATTTTTTTGTACTTATTGAGCGATCGATAGGTAAAGCTTCGATCCTTAATCCGACTATCCGAATTGATCTTTAAACCCAGATAGATTCAGATTTTCATATCAGAGATTTTTATTCGGATTGGTCAAAAAACTTAAATAATGAACCTAAGGATGTGCTACAAAGCTATCTTTATATGTAATCTGATGCGGATTCAATCCGGATTTAATAGAATCCGGATTGCCTGTCAAAAATAGGATCGAAGCTCTATTGATAGGTTACGCGCATCACATCTAAAGTGTGTCAGCCGTAATCTAATGCAAGTATTAGTTTGAGGCAAAATAGGTATACAAATTTATAGCTTTTTTAAGTATAAACTAGAGGAAAAATATAGATAAGCTTAATAACACTTTAAGAAAAGTTGGTCTTAAGAATTTACAAGGAGAGTTAGGTGATTTGTGTCTTTACATTAATGATATGTACAGTACATTACTTTCATTACTTTTTATAATTTAAAATTATGCTCACACTCAATCACCCATCGTATATTTTTAAGCGTTAATTGAAGTCAAGTCATAACTGAAGTGGTCTTTTTATTGAATTTTTTTTGCAAAAAAAAAATAAAATAAAAATAGAAACATATATATACAGTATATAGAATAATAACTAAAAAATTTTTATTGAATTTTTTTTTGCAAAAAAAAGAAATAAAAAAAAATATATATATATAGAATAATAACTAAAAAATTTTTTTAAAGTCTAAAAATAATCGACTTGATAAAATGCTGCGCCACGACGAAGTCACCACCAGAAATGTATAAGTTCATTTTAAACGCATTAAAACTCTCTGAAAAGTACATTAACGTTAACTTGTTAAATAAAGCATTATTATACCGGAACTGAGGCTGTTTCTTGGCTATTACTTTATTTTATTATATGAAAAGCAATCCATATCCAGAAATGTATAAGTTCATTTTAAACGCATTAAAGCTCTCTGAAAAGTACATTAATGTTAACTTGTTAAATAAAGTATTATTATCGGAACTAGGGCCATTTCTTGGCTATTTCTTTATTTTATTATATGAAAAGCAATCTATATGTACATTGACGTAAACAGAAATAGGCCTCTATCATTTTCCCGGCAACCACTTTCCAGACAAACAAAATCTCGACAAAAATTAACTTAACCCTAACCTAATACGGGCTAACTTGTCGGGTTTTGACGTTGTCGAGAAGTGACTGTTGGGAAAATGATAGAATCCGAACAGAAATTATATATAAAGGTTTTAAATATTGTTCTCATTTTATAGGATGCTAATGTTATTTTTGAAAATTTTAAATCATGATTAATATGACTCAAAAAAAAAAAAAATCTAACCTTCCGACTTTAGATCCCTGGGATAAGCGGAATATCATCAAGATTTCCAAATGCTCTCACCGCGTTGAAATAGATTTCAGCTATCCTCCTACATTTTACTCCCAAAAAACTCTTCAACCCTTTGAACTCTTTACATATATCAAACATATCCTTCTTGAAATTATTGTCGATCTTCGCGCGATTATCTTCTGTAAAACGGCCTTGGTTCTTGTAATTACGATATCCAAAATCGTGTCGTTGACAACTAGGAAGAAAGTTAAAACCAAAGGGGTGATCGGGAGAATTGCTGCAACCATCGTCGTTGAAATCTAATTTGGGATTGCCTTTGGCCTTGGCATCGAGAAATTGTTGTATGGAATCTTTGAAGAGAAGGTTATCAGTTTCTATCTCGACGTTGTTTTGACGTTTGACAAGAATGGGCAAAGCGTTGGTGAGAATTGTGGAAGTAAAGAGGAGGAATAGGAATGATGTGCGGATTTTCATCAGCTTTTTGTAGTGTAATGCGGGAAAATTGTTTGTATGAATTATAATGAGTCTTCACTTTGAAATATTGATAAGTCCCCTTAGTATATTAATAGGATTGCTCTTTTGAAGACTTTTATTTATTCTAAAAAAGAATGTGATAGAAAAAATTGAAAAAAGTTTGCCCAGCAAACATAGAATTAATTGTACAAAAGATTTTTTTTTTTGGTCGGAAGGAATTGAGTATCGTATGATAACTGAGTATCTCATTAGAACTGAAGTTGCTTTTATAGACATTAGAAAAGCGTTAACAACACCGACGTTCAAAACAAACAATGAAGGTATTGATTTTTGATATGAAACCGCTGAGGTACCTTAGCGGTTTCAAATCAAAAATGAATGTCGAAAAAGTTTCTACGGAACATCACAACCTATAGATTAAAGTATGAGACAGAGGTGCAGACCATAATTAAACTATACTTTTTTGGCAATATTAGACCATAATTAATGAATTATACTTTTTTGGCAATATTGACCATAAAGATAACGATAATTAAATTCAGGGGTGCCGAATAATTGATTGCAATTAAATTATACTACAATTAAGTTTAGCTACAATTGTGATAAACAACAATTGTAAAACAATTAAATTGCGAATAATTGCAATTAATTGCAATTAATTGCCATTTACCACTTGGGTGCGATGAATCATGGTATGTGACAAATACAGTTTACTAATTAATTGAGCTAGTGAATTCTTATTTGTCACGCAAATGATTCATCACACCTAAAATTGCAATTAATTGACTCATTGTGGCTGCGCCACCAATCAATTAATTGAGTTCAAAAAATTGCAATTAATTGCCCCCACAATCAATTATTCGGTAGGCCTGATTAAATTATACTTTTTCAAGCAAACAAGGTTCGCGTCGCACAGGATGCAGTTGCAGTGAATATCTAGTACATTAGTACTCAATTCTTGAGTTGAGAATCAGCTGACATTTCAGTTCGAGTTATTCAAGTATCTATATAAAGATAAACCATTAATAAATCTCATACAATCTCCTGTCATATTAACAAAGAAATGAATTTAAAAGCAGATTACAAACAGAGATGGGCAACTGCATGATGCGCACTTAAGTGGTCGTACTACATAAAATGACAATCGTGATGATAATCTCTAAAACTTAGGGAATTGCTACTGGCACAGCAAAACACGTGACATAATTCCTAATTCGATAGCTAACTGTTACGACCAGTGGGAGAGACTTGTATCGGCAGAGCCAACTTAGCAAAGGGTCGTAAGCATTAACAGAAATGAACCGAATAATTTATTAACACACAAAGGCACCAGAACGTAATAACAAATATTTCTTTATAGTGTCCCAGACACTGTCAATACTAATATCTTTATTTCTCCTACTACTTAGCAAGTTCCAAACTTACTAGCCTTCAACTCAAATTACCAAACAACTCAAAGAAAACTAAAGAAAAATTCTCTAGAACTAAAATACATATCGTTCTTTATATATCTATGAATAAACTCTAAAATAAGCTATAGTCTATTTACAGTCTAATTAAGATACTTCGCATAAACTATTAAAATGTTACACGAAAAGTATATATAAAGTATAAGGAAAGTATAGTGGTTACACAAGCAAAGTTTAAGTGTGAAACTTTGTTGCGTAACACTAACCCACAAAATTTCGGAAAGTCTACGGACACAACTACCCCAGGATCGCCAACAAATTTACTGTGTAATTTTACCATCACGTGATGATCGACGAAAATAAGCCAATAATGAATTTCGATTTGGTGTAACGTTACGCGATCAGAAAAATTCAAATCAAACGTTCGTTTTGTCAAAAATCGCTTATAACTCAAAATTTGCATACTAAACCACCTACTGCGTATTAATAAAATGTTTTTCTTGAACGATTTTACTGTTAAAACCTTTAATTATACACTAAAATAGGTCCTAACCCTAAAATAAACGAATTTAAAATATTTTATCGAATATCACGTGATGGTAAAAATTTTGTGGAACGGACGCAAATCTCACGTTTTTGATACTTTTGCACTTACTTTTTTGATACACCTAAACATACCCTAAAACTAACCAATAGGGCTGTATGTTTTTATAATAAATAAGTATAAAAATTTTAGTGTATGTTTAGGTGTATCAAAAAAGTAAGTGTAGGATTATCAAAAATGTAAGTTTCGCGGAACGGACGGTATACGGGCACGTACCAATTTACGTGATTTTGCACGTACCTATTATAAACCTAAAAACCTGTCACGTGTTAATATACTTACCCTAAAGTCAGGTACGTTCAATTGGTACGTGCCCGTAGACTGTCCGGAATTTTTGATCAAATCTCATTGATCAACATTAATCACATGATTAATGCAGTTTATGCTACATTATGATTGGCTTGTTTAATTTTCGGGGGAGGCAGTTGAGCGAGGGGGGATGACGTTAACCTAAAAATCAAATAAAAACGGTCTAACGTCAATTGGACGTAACCCAAAAATGTGTCGATACCATAACTATCGTTTGCCGTAACATTTGACGCATGCCATCGTACGTAACATTTGGTTTATGCATAACAATTGACGTGTGCCATAATATTTGACTAGTACCATGATATTGCCGTAACAATTGATTTATGTCGTAACATTTGAGTTGTGTTTATAGTAGTGATACAAATCGGCAAAATTTTTTCAATCGATTCATTTGTAACAATCGATTAATTCTTTAGTCGATTAGTTGGAACTAATCGATTAACGATTAATCGATTAGTTGGTGTCTAAAAAGATCAATCGATTAGTTGTCAACTAACCAATCGAATTTTCAACTTTCGATTTGTAACACTAATTTATAGATGGGTGACGAATTATTTTCGCAATGACGAAATTGACGAAATTATTAATGACAAATTATTTTCATAGTGACGAAATTGACGAAATACTTATTTCGTCAAATTCATCAATTTCGTTACCCATCACTAGGGTTGTTAAAAGTCCGATCCTTTCAGACTCTGTAAATAGAGACTTTGATTAGAAGTCGATCCTTGAGTCGAGTCCGTACATGTAATCAAATAAATCTCGATGTAAATTAACCAATCATATGGATGCCTCCTGATCACAAATTGGAACAAACGACGTGCATTTAGACTTTGTCTGGGACAGGCTTGAGTCAGTCCGAAAATGTTCGTGTGAAGTCGACTCAAGGACTGGGTTTGGCAAGCTTTTTAACAGCCCTGCCCATCACTAGTTGTGTTGCAAAATTTAATGCGCCATTGCACCTATAAAGTCACGAAAATCTGAAATTATAAAGAAACTTTTCTTTATTTGTGTAAATTTATTGTAGCAAAACTACTGAATTTATAATATAGGAATGGAGTACGAAGTACATAGAGTATGGTTTACTAGCAAGTATAGGTAACAAATGCCACGCCACAAACCTGAATGATTCTTAAACTACTTTTTTGATTTTTAGTTCGATCATATCTTGAATTACATGTTGAACAAAATGTTATATCAAAGTTTT